CTGGGAGAGGTCCCCAGGGACCTCCTGGGGATCCCTGGGGATCCTGTCTGGCAGCAGCAGCAGGAAGGTCCCTGAGGAGGACGTGAGGACCTCTCCCAGTAGGATCTGGAGCCTGGTTGTGCTCCAGGGTGGGGAGAGCAGGAGGGAAACAGCTCCAGGGATGACACAGTGGGATGGGAAGCAGAAGAGCTCTTGATCCAGGGCATGAGGAGCACATTGCACCCAAACCTTGTCCATGAGCTATCCCTGTCCATCCCAAGGAGGCTGTGGATGCTCTAAGGAGACTGTGGGTGCCCCAGGGAGGTTCATTCTGGGTTGGCTAAATCCTTGCCCCACCTGCTCTGGTCCTAGGACACTAGATGATCTCCAAGCTCCATTCCAACCCCAACCATTCCTTAATTCCCTGCTAATCCTACAATCCTTGGGGAATTCTGCCCCTTCCCTGCTCCCTGCCAGGGGCTGGGAGGTTGGAATCCTTCCCCTCCCTCTCCTCCTGCAGCAGCTGCAGCAAACACTGAGCTCTCTGTTCTCCACAGCAGCTCAGGATTTTTCCACTGCCCCAACAGGAGCCAGGACAGATCCTGCTCTGCCTGTTGGTCCTGGGCACAATTCCCTGAGGACAGGGAGGCTCAGGAGTGTTTGCTTTGCCCCCCGAGCTTGGCACACCCCACGGAGAGGCCACGAGCTCAGGATCAGACCCAACCAGGAGCTGCCTGGTCCTGGAGCTCCTCAGGATCAGAATCAATTCCAGCCCTGGAGCTCCTCAGGCTCAGGATCAGCCTTGGAGATCCTCAGGCTCAGGATCATTCCCAGCTCAGTGCTTCCCAGTCCTGGAGCTTGCTGAGCAGCTGGGAAGGTCCAGGAGAGCAACAAAAGCCTTTGCTATTCCAGCCTTGGAGCTCCTCAGGCTCAGGATCAGCCTTGGAGATCCTCAGGCTCAGGATCATTCCCAGCTCAGTGCTTCCCAGTCCTGGAGCTTGCTGAGCAGCTGGGAAGGTCCAGGAGAGCAACAAAAGCCTTTGCTGACCTGTCTGTGATTCCTGCAGAGAATACTCAGCCATGGATTGGTGTCCAACCTCAACGGCCCTCAAAGAGCCACCCAGAGCATCCAATCCAGCCAAATCCATCCTTGACACAGCCCTGGGGGGAATATCCATGGGAGAAAGGAGCTGCAACCAGGAATTCCTGAGTGTAATAGGGATGTGACAAAGGAGTTGCAACTCATTCCTGGCTGGAATGGGGATGGGATAAAGAAGCTGTAAGTCATTCCTGAGTGGAATGGGGATGGGACAAAGGAGATTCAAATCATTCCTAGCTGGAATGGGGATGGGACAAAAGAGGTGCAACTCATTCCTGGCTGGAATGGGGATGGGATGAAGAGCTTGTTCCTGCAGAGCAGACCGAGCTCCTGCCCTGACCCTCCCAGGGTGAGCTCATTCCCTGCGGCAGGAGAACAAGGCCCAGGATTGTTGTGCTGGGCTGGATTCCCTGGATTACAGGCTCAGGGAGGGGGAGCGGCTCCACACGGGATGGGGGGAGGACGTGGGGGCGACTCCAAAACTCCCACAACCAACCCTGTTCCTTCAGCTCCTGCTGGAAGCTTTGCCTGCCTGGGAGTCCCCACTGGAGCTCAGTTTCCTTGGGATTTAGCCTCGGCTAGAAACCTCTGGGGTGGACACAGCTCCACGTCTGAGGCACAGACCAGGAGAGGCCTTCCCAGCCTACAGGCTTGGGGATTGACCCCAAAGTCCTGGATACCTCAAGTCTTGGATATTGACCCTCAGGTCTTGGATGTCAACCATAAAGTCCCGAATATTGACCCTAAAGTCTTGGATATCAAGGCTAAACTCTTGGAGATTAACCCTTAAGTCTTGGGTGTCAACCCCAAAGTTTTGGATACCTCAAGTCTTGGATATTGACCATGAAGTCTTGGATATTAACCCCAAAACATTGGATATCAACCCTAAAGTCTTGAATATTAACCCTGAAGTCTTGGCTGTTAACCCCAATGTCTTGGATATTGACCCTGAAGTCCTGGATATCAAGCCTAAACTCTTGGAAACCTCAAGTCTTAGATATTAACCATGAAGTCTTAGATGTCAACCCTAAAGTTCTCGATACCAACCCCAAAGTCTTGGATATTAAGCCTAAGGTATGGATACTAACCCTAAAGTCCTGGATACCTCAAGTCTTGGATATTGACCTCAAAATCTTGGATATTGACCCTGAAACCTTGGATATCATCCCCAAATCCTTGACTGTTGCCCTCGTGCTCTGCTGAGGTTGGAGGCTCATCCCAAACTCGCCCAGCGAAGTTCAGTCCCAGCAAAGCAAAGGAGCCAAAGGAGCAGGAACACAGGGAAAAGAAGGAAGAGAAGGAGCCGAAGGCGCAGGAACACAGGCAAAAGGAAGAGCAGGAGCCGAAGGAGCAGGAACACAGGGAAGAGAAGGAGCTGAAGGAGCAGGAACACAAGGAGCATCAGGAAAGGAGCCAAGTCCTCCAGCTGATCCCTCAGCACTGGAAAGGCTCTGGCTGAGCCCCCTGGGGAAGAGCTGCCAAGCATGAGGCCGTTAGAACAGTCCTGGTGGCACCAAGGGCACAGTTGGAGCCTTCCCAAGGCATCCCTGGAGATCTGTGCCAACTGCAGAGCTCAGCATTGCCCAAAGATGGGAACCTCCGGCCCTGAGGAATTCCAGGGCTGCCTTTGCCCTTCCAGGCTTGTGCTGTTCCGGGAGAAGCTTCAGCAACACCCAAACCTTCTCCTGTGGCTTCTGATGCCACTTGAGCTCCCAGTTCTCCTGCTTTTCTCCTCTTTAGTTCTACCATTGGCTCTTTTTTCCCTCCTTTCATCCAGCCTAAAGCTCATGGAATCAGAGAATCATGGAATGGTTTGGCTTGGAAGGACTTTAAACCTCATCCAGTCCCACCCTGGGACAACTTCGCCTAGCCCAGGTGGCTCCAAGCCCCACCCAACATGGCCTGGAGCACTTCCAGGGATGGAACAGACACAGCTGCTCTGGGAATGC